ATTTATTTATTTATTTATTAAATTTATACCCCACCCATCTAGACCGAAGTTGTCTACTCTGGCTGGCTAACAATAATAGGTAAAATGAAACAATATAATAAAATGAAAAACAACAGTAGTAATATAGCTCAAGAAGGGAAAAAATGATGACAGGAGGGAAACAGGAACAACCTCCCACCCTTCAAAGTTCTCATAATGAGAATCCACCACAAGACCAAGACCCATCTTGCAGAAACAGAACAAAATAAAATAATTGCAATAACAGAAAGGCCTGCATGTGGTGCGTCTAGTACTAAACTTTCATGGGAGGAGTGCTTCCTAGCTGTACCATTCAAAAGAGGGAAGAAAAGTTCACAGTTAGAAGAAGAAACTTGAAAACCATGCTTTTCTTCTGCAGCGAAGACTCTTTAGGGGTACTTTTTACCCAAGAAATTGCATCTCATGCAATACGCTTGCCCCTGAAAGCGACATAGGCTATGGAACAACGGAACGTCCAGGGGAAGGCAAGGGAACCCTATTCATATCAGCCGAGGGAGGCTGGGACTCATCAGCTACACCAACGACACCAGGGAGGAACGCAACAACAATAGGGTTGCGTTGTGACCCTTAAAGAGGTAGCAATATTAGTCTCTTGCAGCAAAACTAACCAAGTCTTGTGGCCCCTTTTCTTTCAAACTTAACCCACTAAACTAACTGCTTTGCGCTCATTTCAGATCTGCTGCTCTATTGCACTGGCTTCGTCAAGATGCCTTGCATAACTGCTCAGTCTGCAGATGCTCACTAGAGGGGTTTTTCCGCAGGAGCAATTTATTTATTTATTTATTTATTAAATTTATACCCCACCCATCTAGACCAAAGTTGTCTACTCTGGCTGGTTAACAATAATAGGTAAAATGAAACAATATAATAAAATGAAAAACAACAGTAGTAATATAGCTCAAGAAGGGAAAAAATGATGACAGGAGGGAAACAGGAACAACCTCCCACCCTTCAAAGTTCTCATAATGAGAATCCACCACAAGACCAAGACCCATCTTGCAGAAACAGAACAAAATAAAATAATTGCAATAACAGAAAGGCCTGCATGTGGTGCGTCTAGTACTAAACTTTCATGGGAGGAGTGCTTCCTAGCTGTACCATTCAAAAGAGGGAAGAAAAGTTCACAGTTAGAAGAAGAAACTTGAAAACCATGCTTTTCTTCTGCAGCGAAGACTCTTTAGGGGTACTTTTTACCCAAGAAATTGCATCTCATGCAATACGCTTGCCCCTGAAAGCGACATAGGCTATGGAACAACGGAACGTCCAGGGGAAGACAAGGGAACACTGCTCATATCAGCCGAGGGAGGCCGGGACTCATCAGCTGCACCAACGACACCAGGGAGGAACACAACAACAATAGGGTTGTGTTGTGACCCTTAAGCAATATTAGTCTCTTGCAGCAAAACTTAACCAAGTCTTGTGGCCCCTTTTCTTTCAAACTTAACCCACTAAACTAACTGCTTTGCGCTCGCTTGTGTATATTTTTAACTTAACTTTGATACCAAGGTCTCTTTATCAGTTGAGAATTAGCAATGGCCTATTTTAGTCTTTAGTTTTCTTTTTTCCTCACCACCTTTTAGTTTTCAGAACAAGATCTTTTGCTTTTATTTTAAATCCATTCAAATTTCCATTTTGTAACTTTCTGTATCGCTTGGCCTTCTGACTTCACTGTATAAAACCACTTCCCGATTTCCCTTCTACGGAACCATGTAGTTCCGATATATGTTACGATTATCATTTCAGGTATTTCATGTATCTATTTAATGAAAGTGGCCTTTATCCTTGAAACTCCTGTGCTCTGAAACCCTTAAAAACATCCTTAAGGTGTTTCTGACCAAGGTTTTGACTAAACTAAGGATGCTTTCTAAGAAACTATTTTTGTGAGAGGTTTCAACATATTTTTCCAGATGTGGCCAAATATAAAGTCTGTTTTTATAGCAAAACGCAATAACATTCATGGAAGTTTATAGCACCCCTCTTTTAAAAAAAGAAGAATCTGCATATCTCCTGTCTCTATAAAACACAGTTAATTAAACAGCACAAATCATTCCTGCTTCCTAATGAAACCTGTCAAGGCAGCTTGGGGGGTACAGGCTGCTTTTCAGATTTAGAATTACCATCCCTCAATTACACATCAGATTCTTGAAATTCCTTTTCCACTCTCAGGGTCCAGACTCCTGGATACAGCATTGGTAGAAAACAGAAATTGTTCACTCACTGATTTTTTTTTCTTTTTTTCGGCATTCAGTCAGTGTTTCTCAGAGGCTATGCTAAAAGGTGATCTTGGAGACTGGCCAGGGGAGACAAAATATCTGAGACTACCTCATCAGCAACCAGTGTTTCTGAGACAATACACCGAACTCCAACTTGCTCTAGTACTACTTCACTTTAGCCTCTGGCAGAAGAGGATTCCATGGACAAGCAATGAACAACCAAAGTCAAAATGGAACAATAGGTCTTGGACTGCTGTAGTAAGAAGCGGAAAGACACTCTTTACGTCTTGCTCCCCAAAGTCTTGGGCTTATGTTCAAAAAAGTCAGAATATAAATACAAGAACTCAGACCTTTTCCAGATACTGCAAGACTCTTTCTTGTTTCTGCTGCAACAGAGTAACACTGCCATTCCCTAGATCAGTTTTGCTAAATGTGTCTCACAATGCCAGGGTGCGGAAGCATAAAACTTCAGATGCTCCCTCCAAGGTACAAAAGTTCGGACAGACCATTTCTATTCACCAAGCAAGCAAGTACAGTGGTGCCCCGCATAGCGACAATAATCCGTGCAGCAAAAATCATCGCTATATGGATTCGGCGCTATGCAATAAAAAAAAAAAAAAAAAAAAACCACAAGAGAAGACACTAAAACGTTTAATGTGTTCCTATGGGCAAAAAACCTTAATGCGAAAATCCTCCATACGGCCGCCATTTTCGCTGCCCGATAAGTGAGGAATCCGGGCAAAAACACCGCGGGCAGCCATTTTATTTACCTGGTGGCCATTTTGGAACCGCCGATCAACTGTTCTAAAAACATTGCTATGCGAAAATCGGTAAGCAAAACAGCTTACCGGTCATCGCAAAGCGATATTTTACTATTTAAAACATTGCAATGCGATCGCAAAACAACCGCAAAAAATCGTTGCTATGCGGATTCGTTGTTAACCAAAGCGCTCGTTAAGCGAGGCACCACTGTACTGTATTATGGGACAGCACCAAGATTTATTTAAGTTCTTTAAGGAAATGGTGATAGCCTGCCCTACAGCCAAAAATCTCAGGGCAGGGTATAGGCAAGAAAAGAACAGCAAAGAATTTCTAATAGTTTAAAGCCACTGAAAATGAACTAAAATCATTAAATTGTTCAAGTAGCCCTTTCCACATGCGCCAAGACTCCCCCCCCCAGACCCACCTGGGCTCTGGCCCATGTGGAGAGGCTCCTCCAGACAGAGCAACTTCCCACCCTTCATGCAGTTCAGTGTAATAGAGAAGGTGGGGCTCACTCAAATCCCTCAATGCTTCCTTAATGACTGAAGAAAGCTTGAGTGTGGGGCTTGATTGTGTTTAAGACCTGCACAGGAAGTAGTGATCCCATGCATCTCATCCCCATTTCCTTCCCCATGGTTAAGATACTGCAAATATATGTGCATCAGCAAGCTGCATTTCAGAGTAACATGATACCCCTTTCTACTCAGGGGCAACGAAGGATGATTTAAGGAGGCTTTACTCCTGGGCAATTAGAGTAACAATAATAAGATTCTGGACTGAAGCTTTTCATTTACGCTAAAAATAATAATCTGTAGCTCTGCAATTCATAATAATAATAATCTTAGAATGGCAGATGTGGAAGGGACCCTATGGATCGTTAAGTCCAGCTCCTGTCAAGGAGGCATGGAGGGGAATTCAAACTCTGATGCCTAAACCACTGAGCTATCTAGCAGTTCGCCACAAAAATAACCCCAAAAGGCGACCCTACAAAGCTATCAGATGAATGAAACACTCCTACTAAAGAAGCTTAAACACTAACAACTGTATCTTTATGTAAGCGATTTTTCAAAAAGAAAATATTATTTGACAAGACGAAACCTACCTGGGCCAACGTAGCATCGGCACATGCTTTCCTAGCATCCTGGAAAAAAGAAAGAACAAAGAGACAACACGTCAGAGAGAAGGAAGGTGGAGGGGGCAAGGCAGTTTTCGACAAAGGCTCCCGAACATAAAGAAGGTAGACTTCGTATCCTTAGATACGGGCTGCCAATGCTCAAAAGCAACGCTGAAGGGAAAGCATGTCCCCCGGACTGTTAAAACAAGTGGCATGCACCCTAAGGAGACAAATGATCAGCAACTACCATGCACCTGCAATACGGAACCCACAGCAAATGTTGGTTCATTCATCTGGGGATATGCCATTCAGATTTTTTGGGACTTCTGCATCCCAGAATTCCTCCACCTGATGGTGCCAATGAGGTGTGGCTCACCAGGAGAAAGGACTCCCTGGGAAGCTGCGCGGCCTTGGCTTCCTGTTCAAAAAAGCTTGCTGAGAAACTCCAAACGGCAAAACCCTGAAGCGCAACTCTTATTTCAGTTTCATCAAGTTGCTTGTGCTCTCTCAAAAGGAGAAATACAGATGACAAAACAGATCTAAGAGGCTCCCCTCATTCCCACGCACACTGAGTTTTCATGGGCAAACCGGTCCTAGGTCTCCTGAGTTCTGGTCCAAGCTTTCTATCCACGGTCTCTTGTGGACTGTCATGAAGCTGTATTGCTCATATTAATACAACCATTATATAAATAACTGGCCTTCCAAAACTACACCTTGTTATTGTAAGTAGCTGGTCTGCCACTGGGGGACCTCTGTAGCTGAGTTCAGTGGTGCAAAGAAGATTTTAATCCAGTAATCTCCCTTAACCCACTAAGGGTCAGCCGGAATGCAAATGCATGCATTACGAGCAGTGGACAAGAGACCGAACCTCTGCATGAACAAGGACACATTAAGGCAATATGGAAGGGAATATAGAAAAAAAACTATTTTAAGTGACCCAGCAGCACCAGAATACAAAACGACTGATAACACTCACTACATTCCCCTATAGAAAAATTCTGTATATTTTTTTAGATCTAGATGTCACAACTAGAGTGGGCCCATTTCAATCAATGACATGTATGGAGGAGTTGATTTGCCAAATGCCCGCTAAATCAGTAAGCCTAACCCAGTGGCATCTTACAACTGGTTTCAGCCAACATGCCCTTTTCTCCAGGCCAAGCTTTGAACCTAACTTTCTTCCACATTCTTACAATGACGATGTCTGTCCGTATCTCCCCACCAGACATATTTAAAGCAAATGATTATCATCATCACCACCACCATCTCATCTACTACTTAGAAGGCATCTACAAAGTGTTACAAACGAGTCAGTCCTTGTCCACAAGCATGTGGTTTTTGTATGAAAAAGCAAAACGGGTGTGGATGGGGTGGGTGAAGAGAGAAGTGGGAAATGCCTAGTTTTAAAGTTAGAAAGAATAGAAACAGGTACTCATTTACAAAGTCAGAAAGAGGAGAAAGAGTTTGAAACACGGCCAAATGGCAGTCGGCTTCCCAGCGTACACTAATGAAGTGAGTCCCACTTTTTCCATGTCTCTATTGCAGCCAAAGAGAGGCACGCGGAACAGGCAGCTGGTCACAAAGACAGGCATCATGTGCCTGTTGTGAAAGGCACCTTTCTAAAGCCCAGCCGTGCATAGCCAGCGGGCGTGGGAGGAGCTACCTACACCAGGATATCTTCTCCCACTGCATGGGGAAAAAGGGGGGACAGTAATAGGAAGCTAATAGGAGAGGAATACAGGAGAAGGAGAAAGGATGAAAGAAGCTATATCTGGGATCATCATCTCAGAACTGCAGAGCTGGAAGACAGCATGGGAGTGAAGCACACTGGGGGACCGAACTCCCAACCTCTAACTCCACAACCTATCTCAGAACTGCAGAACTGGACGACAGCATGGGAGTGAAGCACACTGGGGAACCGAACTCCCAACCTCTAACTCCACAACCAGTTGCCTAAGCCACTGAGATAGAAGGGGAACACAGGGAGAAGAAAAGGAAAAATATGACAGAAAATGAGCAAGAATACATTGAGAGGCATACTGGTCAGAGGAAAAGAAAATAAGCCAAGCAACCTTCTCCACTTTGTCCAATCAGACCTGCAAATTCTGCAGGAAATGAACAGGCTTAAATACTACCAGAGGGAAAAGCTGAACTATGGAACTCCCTGTCACGAGGTAATCCCTGTGGCAAAGGAGGTAGTCATTTCCAAACAGGGATTAAGTGTGCATACAAAGTGGTATCAATAACTGCCAGCTAGTTGCGTCAAATTCTGCTTCCACCTGCTGCCATGTCATGATCGGCTCTCCCCTCCCCTGGCATTCGGTGCTGGCAAGGCCCAGCAACTCTCAGTTTTTCAAGACTCAGGAGGATGGAGAACCCAGGAGTGTAACAAGACTTCAATATGCCAGTAGTCCTAAACGTAACCTTCATGAAGCATGTGGGGCCATGTGGCGTAAATGGGAGGCAGACCAGGAGAACTGAGCAGTAGAAATGAAGAATAAATTCTTAATCAGGAAGGAGGCAAACTAAGCAAGACCACAAAGGCCCAAGACTCCTTACAGGCATTCAATGTCATGAACTACCCTTGCATCTATTCTACATTCAGCGTGGTGAGTACAGAAAAGGTTTATTCTGAATTACTGCAATGATCCAATGGCATATTTTCTGCCTGATCCCACTGCCTCCACCTAAACGGGCAGGCCTCTCTCCCTCTGGCGCCTGCCACACACCTTGAAAACAAGCTGTGGGGGACTAAGAAACCTTCTGGAATAGGCTCTTGCTACTGTAGTAGGCGGGGAAAGGGAGAAAGTCTCCATTTCACTGTTTCTGGAATAAACGGGAATAAACAACTGATGTCCTATGCCAACAGCAGTCCTCCCCAACCTTGAACCCTCAAATGTAGGTCTGTTACCACCATAATCTCTATGACAGCTGGCTATGGATAATGGGGTTTGTGGCCCAACTCCATTTGGGGACCTAAAGTTGAGAAAAGCTGGTCCACAGCTACATGAAATGCCTCTTCTCGGTTAAAACTGTGGGACGGGCAGAAACCTCTGGTCTGCTCTTTCTTCCTGAACACGTTTTAAACAGTGTGACGTTATTTGTTCTTACTTTAAACAGAGAGCCTCACAGGAAAGCGCATTACAGAAAGTATCCAGTCTCCAGAGCCAAAAACCTCCATTATGTTTAGAGAGAAATTTGGAATTAATGAAAGAGGGAGAAACGGTATTCATTTCTTCAACCAGCTATATATACAACAGCTAGATAAATGTGTGAGATATCCTACAACAGTCATTTATATGAAGGGATTTCACATTACTGTACATTGTTTCTTCAGCTTGGCAAAGGGATGATATACGTAATAATTATGTAGGCTTCTTTTTGAGAAGGTCTAACTCGCATTTTGTAAAAACAAAGCATTATTCAGCACCTTCATTAAGAATGTGCAGGGTCATTAAAAACACACCACAACCTATAAATTTAAATTAAAACCAACATGAAAAAAGCTGTAATTGTCAAAAGCTCTTGGATTAGCGCTTTTGTATCCAGCGTTATGCATCTGACATTGTGTTGTGTTCTGAACTGTAACTTCCCACATGGCAAGATGTATGTACAAATTTGTCTGATTTAGCCAAGTTTTTTGAACACAAAACTTAGAATAACAAGTGCAGGATTCTAGATTCTTGCCCATGTTCTGGCAAGAACTCATTTTAGTTCTCTGTTAATGCAGACACTGAGGCTGTCCTACTTGGTTTGGGCACATCATGAGAAGGCAGAATTCGCTGGAGAAGACAATAATGTTGGGAAAGGTAGAAGGCAGCAGGAAAAAAGGAAGACCCAATACAAGATGGATTGACTCCCTAAAGGAAGCCACAGGCTTGAGTTTGCAAGAGCTGAGTAGGGCTCTTGAGAAGAGGACATTCTCGGAGATTACTCATTCATAGGGTCACCATGAGTAGGAGGTGGCACATAACAACAACCACCTCTGGGGGCAGGGGGTTACTTCAAAAGCACTAATAAATGAAGCATTCACCATAACAGGTTTTAATAAAGAGGGACATTTTGTTCTGTCTTTAATAATTTGACAGAAAATTCAACTGTACATAACCGGCATGTGGAACAAATTAGGGTGTAAACATGAACCCCGTGAAACAGAGTGGTCATAATGGCTTGAGAACTTAAAACACATAAGCACACACAAGGCTTTAAGTGGCCTTATGAAGCCACCTCCCTCTTTCCTGTTGTCCTCTTCCCATGTAATAGCAATACATGGAGTTCTAGCTAAGCTTCTTTTGCTACTTTCATTTTTCCTATTCCAAGGAAGATGATCTTCTCAGTGGCAGCTCAAGGCTCTGGGACTCCTTGTCTACTGTCCTGCTAGGAGCAGGTAATGTTTGAATTCCAGCAGGCTACTGGCCAAAAATGGGGTGCTTAAGGTAAGGGCTTCAACAGAATACTGCTGTGCTATTTGAATAGGCAATTTTAAAAACAGATTTTCATTCTATCGTGCTTTAATGCTACAATCTGACTGTAGCTTAATATAACCTTTGTGGGTTTTTACTTCTAACTGTTTTAGTCTTGTTGAAAGCTGTCTTGAATTTCAGTATAGGAAAAAAGCAGGATATAAAATACAATTACCAATCTAGTGTTGAAACATAATGCTTCAAGGCCTCTGAGTACTTTTGTTTACAGTTTCTTTGGGCTGATGTTCTATTTTATTTATGTGGCTACAATTGCCAACTGCCTTGTTTTGTTTAAAACCTTTACAAAATGAAACTACCTGGTCCTGAAATAAAGTTACCCCTTGAAATACAGATTTGTAAAATGGGTGATGCATTCAGAAGAAGAAAAAAGCAACAACACACAAAATGACATGCACAACTCAGCCAACATGAGCTTCAGTTTACTTTTTTCTGTGACCTATAATTTTAATGCCAGTTCAACAAGATGGCCTAGTTTCAGAGGCTGTGTAAACTTCTGACTAGAATGAAAGACATCAAACTTATTTACACTGCGCAAATTGCTATGATGTGCCGTGACAGCAGATAATGGGTTGAACTTAAGACTTAGAGAGGCTTATTAATATAACACTGAAACTGTGGTGGTAAACTATTTGACACTGATTGTCTGAATTGGATGCGATGTTTCAGAACATTCAATTGCTCAAGAGAAGCCATTCTCCAGTTCATCGCCTGCAGCATAATGTCAATTTGGCTGGAATAAAAACTATCTAGGGGTGGGTTTCTCAAGAAGTCCCAGAAGGCAGAGAAACTAAGGGGCAAGGATGCCAGAGAAAAGACAAGGCACAGCAGGTAAAAGACTAAGGAGCAAGTAAGAGACGGTGGCAAGGAAAAGAAGACATGGAATCTAAGTGTGCATGTGTGTATTTACCCATACTGAAAGAATATTTGAGCAAATACACATACTTGAAATACAGAAAGTGAACAAAACAGAGTTGAAGAAATGGGAAGTTAAAAGAAGGACACAGCAAGTTCTAGACGGCTGGGGTGGGGTGAGGATTAACTAACACACCATTCGCACTGTTAGATGAAATGAAAATGTTCACAAGAAAACGAACCATCAAAGGATAAAATGAAGAAGGCATGGCAGTGCTAGTTATAAATCTCAGAGCTGGAAGTGACCCTATTGGGTCAAGTCCCGTCCCTGTCAATAAGTCACAGAGGAAGAATCGAGACCAAAAAAAACCATTGAGCTACACAAAAAACTCAATCCTGACAGGGACTTTTTGCCAGCTGTGACTTCTGTCTCCATTGAATTCTTACCTGGCAATTGTAAGGGGGGAGAGTATTGTGGGCCAAGCAGCAGTGGTTGATGGCTAACCTGAATGTCATTTCCCTGTCAATCCTAACCTCTCTGATGGACTTTGGTATTTTTAGAAAGCAGTAGCTGTTATCTGGAGGACTTTTGAACCAAACTCGTGGTGCACACCTTTCTCTTTTACACACAGTGAAGTCAGATTATAACAGCCTTTTTAATAAATGCATTAGGCTATATACATCTTAAAGACTGTAAGTCACTGTTAACATCACATGCAATTTCTCTTTCACAAAAAGCCAGCCATAGTTTACTTCCCAAAGTAAATTAGGACGGTAGATAGTAATTATTATGAAATAGCAACAGGGCAAATGCTGAATATGAGCTGCTGTTCAACAGTTGTTTTTCAACAAGTTTTCTTCCATTTTATTGTTATATGACATATCTAGATTCCTGTTTTATTAAATACAGATTTATTGGCTAGTTTGGAATTATTTTTTAATACATACTCTGATTTGATTTTTCAGTTGCTCCGCCTCCTGGCGTAACTGGTCAAGTTCACTCATCTTCCCGTACTAAAGGTGTGCCTCTCTGACACCTCTCAGTTGCTCAAAAATCTGGAAAAAAACAAATACATAAAACAGAGTCAAGACTTACACATGTCTATCCAGGCTTACTTAACAGTAAGCCCAAATATGTAATATAGTACTGCAGACATGATCTGTGATACTTCCAAGTTGCTTACGTAGTGTTTTGGTCAATACTTATATCTTTATGTATTTATTTAGAGTTATAATACATGCATCTACTCATACACTGTCTCACACACAAAGAGAGAGATGCCATTACAAGGCACTATAACAACTGAGCCAAGGAAAGCTTAGTTTTAAGTTCTATGTAAATAAAGAAAATTTGCCCACTTTCTCTACTGTGTCCAATTTATTGTGCTCCAGCTAATATTGGTGAAAAGTTTAAAAACTGGCAAATCTTCCAGCTTGAGATTTTAGATTTATACTTTGGTAAGTACATATGCATCAATACTATCCCATCCACACTGCTAAGGTACAAGGTGTGAAAAATATTTCAAACTCAGAGGAAATCTCAGTCCTACAATTTTCTTAATGTAAGACCTCAGTGCCTTTTTACATTTTGGGTAAGCAATTGCAGTCTCAGCAGCTTACATCTCTTTTGCAAAGATGATTGATTTAGTTAATTGATATTCTTCCTTTATCCCAAAATAGGGACACAAGGCAGCACACAAAATTAACTAAAAAGATCCAAGTAGAAACACCAGAACTGATTATATTAAAGCATGACCAAGTTAAAAACAATTTAAAGGAAGCATGAGAAAAGTATTTGACCCTGTATTCAGAAATTACATAGAAGTATCATGTTACAGGCGAAATCATTTGGCATCTTAAAAACTTAAAACACAACAGCGTTAATGGAAACATTTTAGGGTTCTTTAAATAGCTATCATCAAAGCAAAACAGCACTTAGTTCTTAATCCAACATTTGCAAAACAAATTCCTAATTCTTTGGAAGTCCAACTGCAGAACGCACACCGAGATACAAACACTTAGACATGATTTTTCAGCCCATTTCCTGATTCAAGAAAGCAGAGTGATAGTGTCACTTAAGACATCCAGTGCCACATGGGCACTTTTACATATTTATGGAACTGTGTCTCTACCAGCTCCTTGGTAATGAGGATGAGACATACTTCTGCCAGATAAAATTTGATCCATGACAAGGTCCAAGAGCAGACTTTTCAAATCTCCTAATGAACAAGGAAGAGCTTTCCTACGCATCCAAACCACATATGGCTCAGTCATGGTTTTACACCCGATACTCCTGCTGCTTCTTTGTTCTAAGGCATCTCAAGTTGTTTCTGCAATGCTTATTTGCAAAACAGCACCACAGATTCTTCGTTGCAACTCACTGTTGTTTCTCTTCCTGCTTCTCCCCAAGCCAGGCTTCATAAAGACATCGTACCTCCTCTTGAGCTGCAACTATGCTGTCTGTGTGGGACTATGTTGGGTTAACTTTGCTCTCAACTTCTGCCATAGGTATAAGTCAACATCTAAGAACATCCACATCAAGCAACTGTCTGGTCTCACAGTATAAGGAACACTCCATAGTCAAATGCTGTCACTAGTACAGTACTGTATTACTAAAACGAACATCCAAGTGTAAGGCCTTAGAAACAAATTACACTGAAATAAGCCATTCATTCACGAAACTAGCCAAGATGAGCCATGTAATCCAGAGAATATCATGTTTGAACAACTTCATATTTTTAGTAACATCATGATTAGGTCACGAACATTACAAACTCCTAGATACCGCTCAAGTACTTCACATATTTACCGTATTTTTCGCTCCATAAGACGCACTCGCTCAAGTACTTCACATATTTAACTGCCCATTCTCCTCTAGTGTCCAAAAGATACTCACCGCACCAAATCCTATGATTTCAGAAACTCCTGGTGAGATTTTCACGTGGAAATAAGTGGATCTGAACTGTGTGTGCTCTGAGTTGAAGTGTCACTGTTAAGTCTGTATAATCTCTCGTCTGAGCTTATCGCTCAAGTACTTCACATATTTAACTGCCCATTCTCCTCTAGTGCCCAAAAGATACTCACTGCACCAAATCCTATGATTTCAGAAACTCCTGGTGAGATTTTCACGTGGAAATAAGTGGATCTGAACTGTGTGTGCTCTGAGTTGAAGTGTCACTGTTAAGTCTGTATAATCTCTCGTCTGAGCTTATCTACTCATTCAAATCCAGTTAAGGTGAAACCTGCATGGTGTCCTTTCAAAGACCCATTCTGGTCCCCTTGGACAACAGACTGTTTCACAACACCTTGCAATGAGGGTTGGGGAGAGAGGAAGCCATTGGCTGACCATCTGCGTACCATGTTTAACAGGTACACCATCCCAACAGGACATAGCATGCTACCAGAGCAAATACAAGCATCAGTTCTTTTTAATTTGCCATAGGCAGCTCTTCAGTGTTTAAAATTGAAAAAGGCAGCAGTAACCACTCATGTCCTAGTACAAGACCACCAGGGAGATATGACAGGAGCTGTCTCACCCAACCTCGAGGTAAGATGGCTGTGACAGCATATTTGTTACACTTTCAAGCTTAGAAAGTATTTCAATGCCAGTCTTTGCTTTGACAGTATCTCCTGGTATAGAAATGTCCACCAGTTTATTGAAGACAGTTATTCCAAAGGACAAGGAGATGTCAAATACAGGGAACAAGGAGAGTAGGCGAAGTACCCTGAACTAGCAGAGAAACCCATCAATGGCTGAGGAAAGACAAAAAGGAAGCAACTTAAAAGGAACGGATCATGATTTCCAATGTCTACTCGAAAGCAGAGAGCATGGGAACCAAAGAAGATGAGTGTGCAGTCTTAACACAGGAAGACAAATATGATTTAATAGGCAGTGCCTAAATCTGAGGGACTGAAATTCATGACTGGAACCTACTGCAGCAAGAGTTAAACTATGTCAGAACAGCCTTAAACAAGAGGTGGGAAGTAACTCTGCACTATAAAGGATGTGTGTACCTGGAGAGAGATCCACGACCTGGAGCGTGGAATGCTAGTGGAAAATATTCAGGTTAAAAAAAAGTGGGGGAAGTAGGAAACAATTCTGCCAAGAAGATAAGGTTTTAACAAATCCTTCTCACTAACAAGGTTAAGAATCTGGAAAAAAACAGGAACTTTTGATGGAAAGCCCTCACTGTCTGTTCAACAATGGAATGAACTCTCTCAGAAAGAGGTACACACTCTGTCAATGGACATTTTTAAATACAGGTTGCATAGCCATCTGTCCATGATACTTGAGCTTTAGGCTACCTGTTTTGGCCGGGAACTGGAGATCTTTGGACTCCCTCTGCAACTCTATTAAACTACAACTCTAAAAAGAAAAGGATCCTTACTCTACCATCCCTGCTAGAGATTCACCTTTACCACAAGTTCTTTAACAACGGCATATAAAACCACACTTGTATTTCTTTCAAGAATGTTTGTAGCAAATCATATTACAACTAAAAGTCACTATTTGGCTAGATGAAGTTCACATGTTGAAAAAAAAAAGCAAAATTAAGATACCGTATTTCTCGCTCCATAAGGCGCACCTTTCCATAACACGCACCAATTTTTTAGGAGAAGAAAACAGGATAATATAATCTGTTTTCTTCGCTCCATAAGACGCACAGACTTTCCACCCCCCTGTTTTGTGGGGGAAAAGTGCGTCTTATAGTGTGAAAAATACGGTAATTGCAAATTAAAATGACCAATGTTTTAGTCTCTGAATTTTTCTGCCATCGTAACAGCAAAATTGGATAGTGAATGCCAACAGGATTAAAGCCCAAACAGAGTCCCTGACAAGAGATATCAAATGGACTACCAAGAAATGACAAAGGATGAGAGAATGCAGCAGAGCCTTGCATTTAACAACATATTGAGTAGCCAAAAATAAGTGCAGAGAATCCCATGCAGGTGAGCTAGCAGAGATGGATTTTCCATCCTTATTTGCCGACACACAATGCCTGTGAGAGCAGCAGAACAATGAAAATCTTTTCCTCCAAAGTCAGCTCAGAAACATGGCTGGCCAACCATCTGTGTCACCCCATTGCTCCTCTACTACATCACCTGGAAGGAGACGACAACTTCATCTGGTAGAAACTCCCTCTTCCGCATCACGGACATCCTGAAGGTTAGCCTCCTGTCAGACTAGGATAAATATTGCTAAAAATCATCCGCAGACTAGTAACTACAGCTGGCTTATCTGGTTTGGCTTACTAGTATTTATTCATGTCCCACCTGCCTAAAAACTAATAATGCTAACACAATTTGATTTATTTGCAGGCTTTGATCTTTTCTACAAATCAAATCACAAAAAAATGAAAATAAAGTGAGGGCAAAAGTTATGATGCTGACAACATGTTCATCTTACAACACCACAGAACTTTCCTGCTAGCAAAAAAGGCACCAGAATGGAATCCATCTTAGTCTTCAATGGCAGAGACTTCTAAAGCCTGAGAGGAGCTGTCAAGAAAGCCCTCTGCCATTCCCAATGAAATATGTCTCTGATGCTGACAGGGTTGACAGAAAGGCTGTCCCCCGCAGACCTTAAGACTAGGCAGACTCCTATGGGGAAATATGGCCTTTTAGGGAGCCTAGGATCAAAGTATCCAGAGCTTCCTAGGTCAAAACCTACCCCAAGTTCCAAGGCTCTCTTGGTATTCCTTCTGTCTTGGGGAAGACGTCTGAGCTCCCAGAATGGGTGTGGGGTCCTTAATGTCTGAGAATGGCTGCCACCACTACCGATCAGCTGGGGGAGGGGGAGGAGAAGGGTACCAGAAACATTTTAATGCCCGCCCCCCAAAAAAACAGCTATACTTGATGACATCATCAGCCTGGCATGGTGTAAAGCTGTGCAAGGAGATTTAAACCTGTGTTGCAGAAGGCAAAAAAGGAAATGAAAAATAAGTATCAACCATCTACTCTTACAAAGTAGAAGGCGAACCTCCACTGTTTGTTATAAGAATGGGAATTTTGTTTGCAACTTCATTCAGTCGTGTGCCTGAAAACGTTATTCAACA